TTTTCATGGCTATTCTCTCTAAAATTTAATTTTAATCTTTTTAAACCACAATTTTGTTATGAAAAAGAAATTAATAATGGGAATTTTACAACAAACCAAAACTAATAAAGCTGAGCTTGAACACCCTGAACTAATATTTTTATCGTAATGACTCAAAATTATAAAAAAAAAACTGAAGAACCCAAATTTTTAAACATTACATATTCTTTTATGAAATCGGAACGCCTTTTTTTTTAAAAAAAAAAAAAAGCCAATTTTGTAGCTTCATTGGCCAAAAAATTTATATTTTGAACTTATTTCTATGGAGAAAAAAAGACGTTTTCTCGATCGCGTGTTGGTCGGCGGCGGCGGCAGAATGACGCCCCATTTACAATATTGTGGTCGCGAGAAAAGCGAGCGAAAGATGCCAATGTGAGTGTCACGCGGCCAGCGACTTTCATAATATAAATATCAAAAGAGCGGCCGGCGCGGCGGCCGAGCTATTTGTGAGTCAAAAGACTCGAAAATGTTGTACTACTTGCAGTGAGAAGGAGAGGGGTGTGTTTGCCACTATTTCCGGCCGGAGGGAGGAGGACCGACGAGCCACGAACGCGGCGAGCGCCACTTGAAATTAAACATGTGCTGCCGATTAAAATTTATTTACCAATTCACTTTTGTCAGAGAGATTTTTACCCACTCGGCTTTTTCTCTCTGCCCGCGAGGGCGAACGCCTCGCTCGCACGCACGAATTTCTTCTCTGCTCACCCCGATTAAATTGTGTAAATCAGCCGCCGGCCGGAGAATGTAAATATTTAGCCGAGGCGCCCATTAATTTCGCGAGATGAAATTCCGCCGCGAGAGTCATGGGATTTTGAGCCCACCGACGTATGTGGTCGGCGAAAAATTCGAGCTGCGGCGCCAGCGAGGCCTGCAGGCGAGAAATCGTTTTTTTAGAAGAAGAATTAAATTTTTTTTTTGTTCCCGAGAAAAAAATTTGGAAATTATTCAGCAACAAGCTATCAATCTTTTCTGAATTTGAAATATTACTCACCAATAAAAAAAATATGCTACAACCTTATGAGGAAGCAGTACAAGCCGATTAGATTTCATTTTGTAGCAAAAATTTGCATACAAACTTGATATTAAATTAATCAGTACAAACTAAATCAAGTGTAGAAAGTTGAACTTGTGGCTTAAAACCTACAAAATCCTACAATCAAACCACTCATTTGCCAGTTTCAGTTGATTCTAATTAATTTCAAATTTTTAAGAAAATATCATTGAATAGTTTACAGTCTCTACAAATTTATTTAGTTTACGCTGGTTTTTTGTAGTAACAATTATCTCTAGAAGATTTTAATATTTAACTCACGTAATTTTCAAAAAAATTAAGAAGCCTTGCATATTGTGATAAAAATATTTGTAAAAAAAATCACAAACAGATAATGAGTTTCAAATTAAATGATTGTTTAGACAATGAAAATAGAATAAATTTAGAATATCCTTAAATTTCCGAGCTGTTTGGAAAAACTGAATCTGCAAGAAAGGCCCAAATATTTTTTTATATTTACCAATAGTTTGTAGAAAATCATCTAGCGAGAAAGATTAGGATAATTTTGATTAATTAGGACAACTTAATTTTTTTTAAATGAACGCGTCTCCTGAATTTCCAAAATATAATTTATTTTCTTAAATCTTCCCAACTAAAATAAAAAAAACTCATCAACACAAATTGGCAAAATAAAATCAATTGTGTAGCTCAACATCAAAATTTGCATTGAGGAGTTCAGTTATCATTTTTTTTTTATGCAACAAGCTTTTAACGAAAATATGCACAGCTGCTTGTCTATAGTAAATTCTAATTTAATTATGTCAATATAATATATTTTGCCATTTACTTTTGCTAATATTAAAAAAATATATATGATTATCTGGGTTTTCCCTCTTATCTCATTGAAAAAAAATGTAATGTCGACTAAATTATGCAGTCGACACTTTTTCCTCCTCCTATAAATTAAAGCAATTAGCAATTACCCACTCAGTTTAATTGGCAAATCCTTGATCAAACCCCACCAGTTAATTAATCCATTTCCGCGTGAACAAAGAAGAGAAGCCGGCTCGTTACACGACTCTGGCAACATCATAATCGAGAAGAACCGGAAATTTGCTCAAAATAAACAGATTTTCAAGACACGCAGGTCTGCGGAAAGTTTTGTCTCCGTCAGCACCGAGTCCGTCGCCAGCCATCACAAACAACAGAGTGTCCGCGAGATCAATCAGTGGCCGCGCGTTCGAAGGAATGTTTGGAACTCACCGTTGCCTGAGGAGTAGGGGTCAGCAGTGGTGGGTATGCCCATGAGCGTGACCTTTGACCCTCGCTCGGCTCCAGCGCACCACACTCACACGTTCATCACTCAAGGGGGACTAGTGCAGGCCCGCAGGCACCCCCGAACACTAAATGCTGCTCTAGCACTGCTGGCCGACCGCTGGCCGCGTGCCCACGTCACGTGACATCTATTTGCGGACTCTCTCTACCGATACTCGCACTTCAATTAAATAATTATTACTGCCCGCGCGCAACACACACCGCCCCAACGCAGCCACTCACACGCACGAACGCAAGTAACACTAAATAAAAACGTTATATTATAATAATTTAATTTTGAGGTTTGATTATTACTTATTATTTAATATTAAATGTTACTCATATTTAAAAAATTTTATTTTTTAATGTTATTTTATTATTTTCAGGTGATTATTTATGTACTAAATTCAAATATTTCAAGGGCTTAACTTTAAACATTATAATATTATTTAAATAAAAATAATTTTTTAATAATCAACAGCGCATTCCAGATTGTTGTATTAATAACTTTAGCAATAAAAGTGTCAAAAGCACTTTGGTTCATCTTCAATCTTCATCTTATGATTTAGCCATTCTGGTTTATAGCATAGATTAAATTTCCTCTCCCTCTCCACAAGTTTCATTACATTTTATATACAAAGTATGATCAATAATTGTTGATTGATGTTTTGTGAACATATTTTTATTGTGTAACATTTCTTCTGATTTCTTGTAAAATCGATGTGAAATTTAAACTACATTTAAAAAGAAGACATCGTTAGATAATTTCATGCTTATTTCTTCAATGAAGAATAAAATTAAATAATTTTAGACCGATATTTAAAATTTGTTGGATATTCATAATTCATAAAGAAGTAGAGTCCGAAATTTGAAATTTTTTAATTTTATTCTATCGCTATGAAGAGTATTTTTATAAAAAAAAAGCAGGCAGTACAATACGCATGTCCTTCTTTCCCCATAAAAATTAAATAACTTTTTTTAATCAAATTTTCTTTCTCTATATATAAGCAATTAATATTTTTTATTATAATTAATTGCGAATATTAAGATGCGATGAGAAATAATTGCTAAACCCAAAAAAAAAATGGAATTTTCAACGCTTTGTAAAAAATTCAACTATATTCTTAGCTCTATTGTAACTTCAGATTTTGCAAATTATTTTTGAGAGTAAAAACTTTTTTATTATTTTAGGTGGATATAACTGTGAGGAAATGTTAATAGTTAGTTCTTGTCCTCAGAAAAAGAGGTTAAAACGTGTCGTATAAGGCAAGGTTTCATTAATCCAGTATGGCTTTTGCGGTTCGTGGGTTGGTGGCAATAAAATTATTATTACCGCGTGATTCACGGGTTAGTACGTCTGGAGCGCCTCTAGCTCGCGTCTTCTGGACGCGTGTCACTGCAAATGAAACACCAGCAGGAAATTCTAAAAACGAGAACTGAGAAGTAACTCAATCGCCGAGGAAAAGTGATTCAATTCAAGTTTATTTTTAGAAACGTTTTTCGCCTAACGATCAATTCGTTTCACCAGTACAAACAGGTTGTTCGTGTTTATAATTACTTTTGGCATGCCGATGAAAGCAAGCGAAAGTCAAACTCAAAGTGACAGCCGTCCATTATTTTGAATAGGTTATTATTAACGAGGCATTCCCATCCCACTCAAAAGTTGAGATCATTGGCGTAGGAAAAATATTATGTTGGTAAGATCACCTATTTTTAATCTGCTCTAAACAAAGACATTCTCAGTATTAGCATTAATTTAAGCTCATCAGATTAAAGTTAAAATTCAGTTGAAAAATCATTTTGTATAATGCCAATAGTAAAAGCCGTATTATAATGTGAAATAGATTTTTCTACATAAATATGATACCTGCAGTGCCTGAATTTGAGATTAGGTAGGGATCGGGAAGGGATCAACAGATTTTTGCTACTGAAAATTTCAAAAATGAGTTAAAATCATATGTTCGTTTATATAAAAAAAAATAAAATAAAAAAGTAATAATGTAATAACATGTTCTGAGCTTTTTTCATCAGTAAAGGATCAGGATGGGATCAGCAGATTTTTCCTTCTAAAATTTGAAAAATCAGTTCGTCATATTGTCGTGTAAATTAAAAAATTCCTATATTAAAAAAATCTGATTTTTTAAATTGACTAATAAAGACTATTTTTGCAAAATCCAGCTGTAAAGGAGACTAAATTTTTGTTAAATCATCTAAAAAATAGTTGACTTTTTTACCCTTAAAAACGAACTAAAATTGGCCTAGTATTTATACGTAATTTTCTATTATCAACGTTTGAAATTTTTACTGCGTTAATTTTAAAGCGTTCATTTCTATTCGTTTCAAATATTGGCGGCTTTAATTAATAAATTATATCCTCCTCAATATCGAAGTGACAAAAATTTATAGAAATTTTGGTAGCATTGATAGTTTGGAAATTAGAATCAAAACTTTTGGACATAAACTTATATTCTACTCGTATATAAAAAAAATTAGCGTACCAAATGCTCAAAACCAAAACTTTTAATTTTTAAGCGTCATATTATTTCACCTAAATTAAAATAAAAATTCAGATATATTTTTGTCTATCACAAACCAAGTAGGTCGATCAAAGCCGTATATTATTTTTTAAAGGAAATATGTTGGGATTTCTTTGTAAAATTTTATTTTTTGCTCCGATCAACAACATCGAAATTGAAATGCATATATTATACATTATAATTATATCCCCAAGGGTCAATTTACATATAATTATTCACGTGTGCTTTTTCTATGCTCACTCATATTAGACAAAATGCGCAACACCGACAGCTTTGCAAATACAAGAATATTATAAAAATCACTTCATGGGTCGTTTGGCAACACAAATTGGTCGTGGATGACACACAGATTACATAGTTTTTGAATCGGTTACGCCTAACATTCACAAGGTCCATGCTAACAAGTCGTGTGAAATTCAGACTCGTAAGGGGAAAAAACACCGACAGAGTGAAATTTATGCATTTTTCTTTTTTGTTTAAAATAGTCTTCCACTAAATTTTGCTAAGCGCGGCTAGGGACAGATGAATTTTAGAATGAGCAACGCATTCTAATTCTGTGGAGAGGCTCTGCGTCACTTTGGTGTTTCAAAAATTATTAATATTATTCTTCAGAATGTGTGTTCTAAATTCTAAACTCGTAGGAAAACAGTTACGTTAAAATTGAAGGCTAAATTGTGGCTATGGTAAATTTCCAGAAATTTTTAATTTAATAACTCAAATTTTATTAACTAGGGAATGCAAGGGTTGATAAAGGGTCTGAAGACTTTCAGAGAATGAATAAAATTATGCTGAAGAGAAGATCCTGATAAATCTTTTTGGAATTATTTTTAAGAGAATGTTTTTTAACAAAACAAGTGACAGAAAAATACTAAAATGGCTTTTGATAATGCGATCAATATTGGTTGTTGGTCCAAAATAATTTTTTTTTTTAAGTTGCGCAAAGGACCATCTTTTAACTTCAACTTATCTATCGCAAAATTATTAACTGTTGAATTATAAGAAATTGTCAACCTCTCAAGAGACCCTAGCCTAAAGATAAACTTCAATTATAGTTTCAAGAGTTATTCAGCATAGTTGTGTGAATCACAGACATTACAGATTTTATTCTACAGCTAGAAACTCTAATCGGTAGAAAAGAACCTCAATCACAGGAGGAATTTAAGTATAGAGTGCCTAGGTTTACATACAAATGCTGCACTGGTAATGGAACTTTTCATTGAAGTTTGCAACGCTGATTTGGGTTTTCGTACTTTTTAAGCAAATTCTGCGTGATGCTGATGTACAATTTCATGTTTTTCTGCTCGTGGGGCTTCCGCCACTTACTCACTATCGGCGACTTCCGTTTGATTCCTGGCGAATGAACTAGAAAAGCTCGGTCCAAAATCACAAATTTGTAACCCTCCAGACACATCTGATCCATCTGAAAAAAATTATTTTTATTAAATTTGTTTCAATGCAACACGATAAAATAAATAAATCAATTCATTGCTTCATTATTATATCATTATACACCACGTATTTTGACTTCACAATGAAAAAAACCCATTAAATTTTCACCTAATCAAATTTTATGTGATTCAACCATAAAAATGTTTAAAACAAACATCAAAATATGCTTTCACGTTTTTTAAGGAAAAAGGACACCTACTTGGGTCATTTTGTCTTGCTGACCCTCCCAAGTGAGCTCCTCACTGTAAAGTGGTTCATTTTTAGTGCCAATGTACACTGGCTCCCATCTGTGAAAAGGGTATTCCCGGTTCACCACTATCAAAGGCTGGAATTTAAATTTAAAAATAGAGAAAAAGAAATATGCAATTTATACAAAATCAACCTGAATGAAATCGGCTTTCCCTTTACGCTTGAGCCACTTTTGTAAGCCTGGGAATTTCTGGCAGTGTGGACAAACCCAGCGGTGAAAAAACACGGCCCTGTCCTTTGAGTAGAGCTTCAAAAGTTGCTCCTTGTCTTGCGGAACAGAGGCTGACGGCTCAATCTTTAAAGAGAAACACATTTCAAGCTTTAAAACCATACATTTTCAATTAATATTTTCCTGTGAATTAATTAATTGGATGCTATAATTTTATAATAGTATTTTGATTTTTATCAACATTTTTTTTTTAAAGTAGCAAAAATCTGGTCAAGAAAATTAAAAATTTGAATTTTATGATTTATATTAATGAGAACGTATGATTAACAGTTTATGGAAATCATCAAATCCCTGTTATATTTTAATTCTTTACTTGAAAAGAGAATATTTAACCTCAAAAACGGGCAGAACGTAGACGAAGCCCTTGCCCGTCCAGTTGCTCACGGCGCGAGTTTTCATCAAGATGTTTCTTCGTTCAGTCAGTCGGCGCAGCAGAACTGCGAATTGATCGTTGAGGCCCCTGCTTGGAATTAATTCGATGTCCGAGACGAGAACAAAATTGGTTTTTGACGCCTGTCGGGCTGCGTTGCGACCCACGTTGACTGGGTACGTCAAATCTTGCGTTTTCCTTTGCGTGTCGATTTTCTTTGCGGGAGGACTGCAGTCGTCCATCTGCAGTAAGGTATAAATTAAAATTTTTACAAACCCACACTAAAAACCCCGGTGGTACATTAATAAACACAATTTGCAACTAAAACGGCCAAGTACCAAATGTCTAAAGTAAAAAAATGTTAAGAAAAACAATCTGTCGTCTTTGATTCAATCATGTTTTTTTTTTTTTTTTAGTGTTTAAATAGCTTAATAGGCTTAAGAATTATTTAATTATCTAAACATAATATGAAATGTTAAAATAAGACAAATTTAGTCAATAAAAAATTATGAAACCCATTTTTTTTTCTTTTTTCTTAATTAATCTAATTTTTCGATTATTAAAATTGGCTTCGCAAATCCAATATATGCAATTATGTACCTTATTTTAATCATTTTGATGCTTTTGCTGTGGATATTTATTTACATATTTACTATATTATTATGCACTTAATTTTAAATTAATTTTATCTTTGTAATAAAAAGTATATGAAGTAGAACTAATAATAAATTATATAAATATTTTATTTAGATAATATTATTAAAAAAATATTAATGTATATTGTTTTTAATAATAATTATATTGTTTTGATGAACAAAAAATATTTTATTTAAATTTACAGTATGTAGCAGCTTATTTTTAAGTATTAAATTTACCTTCAAATCATCGACTGTCACCCAGTCACCCTTGACCGGTGGCATATCCTTGGGGTAGGAGAGGTGCACGGACACCTGTGCCATTTGTGGGACGCATCTGCACAGTTTGTCGACCAACAGGGCAGCCAAATGTGCGTCCGAGCCGGGGGCGTAAAGCGTCACACTGACCGCGCCGTCCCAGTGCAGCAACAACTCGCTCAGGTGGAAGATGAAATCGGGGGTGGCGTGCGTGCAGTACGTGATGGCACCCCGAGACGCGTTCAAACTCGAGACGACGTTGTAGACCACCCTGTACGGCCCATCCTCTCCCAGTTGCACGCTCGGTTGCACCTGGCCAGGGTCGAAGGCCAACATGTCCCAAGGATCTGCAGAATCCACAGGCCTATGGAGGAAATTTATAAAATTATTTTTTCTATCATTCCAAAAAAAAATTTATAAATTTTCCAAATATTGTCATCCGCCCTACTAATTCAGGACAAATTTTAGAGAGGCAACAACAATGGATAGGAAATTAAATATGAGCTTTAAAATACGCAAATTGGGAACTTTGTTTTAAGTCAAAAGTCTCGTTATTAGGAAAATTGTAGACAATTCGTCGTTTCTGATCGATTTTATGTTTCCTGCAGTAGAATTCTCAAAATTATTATAAGGCAATTTCCCTGAGTTACTTAAAATTTGATGTGCAAAATATTAAATTTATTTTTTCCATCAAATTTTGCAAGTTTTTTGTGGAACTTTTTTCCAGATCTTTTTATTTTTATTTTGGGTACTAATTGATTTTGTAATAAAAGAGAACTCTCTTATCATTTTTAATTTTCTAAATTAAAGTAATTTTTATTATTGCTTTGCTTGGTAAAATGAGAAACAACAGAACTTTTAAGAATTTTAGTTTTTTTTTTAATTTAAGTGTGGCTGGAAAATTTTAATTGTCCGCGTAGCTTCAAATATCTATAAATATCATGCTTTTTGTGTTTTTCCCCTCTAATTATTTTTTAGTTCAGATCGGAAGGAGGCGCCATGGCAACATAATCATTCATTGGAGTCTTTGAAAAAAGAGTTTGTTATTCGTACTTGAAGGTGAAGTTGCAATACGATTTGCTGCTGAAGGGTCGACCTTTGAGGTGTTGGCCAGGCTGGAACTCCTCCATCATGCCGAGGTTGCGTCCGAAGTGGTGGGGGCCGTGGAGGCGGCCGAGGTAGTCGCCACGGTCCTCCACTTTGAGGTAGAAGACGACGGCCGTGCCTAGGGTGGCCACCATGATGAAGACGAGCAGTCTGAAGACGTTCCTGCTTCGGTGCAGGCAGGTGGCCACCACCCTGAAGGCGCCCATCGTCCCTCAGGTCACCGGACCCATCCTTTGTTTACGAAAGGGCAGCCCGCCCGCAGGCCCTCGCAGTTGCAATGCGTGGGCGCCCCGTCTTGCCAGACCCGTCGAGCCATCTCCAAGGCACCCCGCCAAGTAAAATATCGACCCGTCGAGGGTTGCCAAGCTCCCGAGCTCCATCGGCGGCCCGAGAGACAACTTCTCTGCAGGCCTCCGTTTTTCTCAATGACTCACCGTTCTACTATGGAAAAAAATGATGAATGAACTCGCAACTTTTCCTGCTCTGAACTCTTAAGATAAAAATTTATGCGAATTCATTTAAATAAAAAAGTTTGTTATTTTTAATTAATATTTTAAGTGACAATATTCCTTATTTAAGGATAAAATGTGAGTATTTATATTTTCCAAATATTCCTTTTTTTAATTGCTATAAATAATCCATAAACCTACTGTTTAAATACATAATAAAATTGTTAAGTATTTTCATATAAGGCATATGTTACGCGAGATTTTTTTTAAATTTTTATTCAATGCAATACTGAAGCTAAAATAAATGTAGATTTAAGTTTTAAGTAGATATAAAGCAAAAAATTAATGGTTTCTAATTATTAAAATCTATTATTTTTCTTATTTTAAACTTGTTTTAAATCATAGGAGTAATTAATATATTTAACTATAACACCATTATAAATACATTATTTTTATTTACTCTTATTCATTGTTTCAATATTAAACAAACACTGACATAAAATGGTTATATGGCGCTTTCCTTTTTTGGTTTTTTTTCCAGAATTTTCATAATTAATTATTTAATTTTGTTCAATCGGTTGAAATCTCAACATTTTAAGTTTTAGAATTCATCAGAGATTTAATAGAGCGCATTCTTATTACTATTTTATTAAGAAACTAATAACTGGATATTTTTTGCTTTGTATAAAGGTATATCTTTGATCCTCAACACTTAAAAGAACAATTCAGCTTGTGCCGTTCGACGTGGCACATGACCGAGAGGCCCTCTGCTATATTGACTGGCTAGTTGCCCCAGTTTAAGCTCTATGCAACCGGGATGACAAATATGTCGCGCGTGTTGCATAAAGCACCTCATAAGCTGGTGTTTAGTTTTGACCTTTCGACAATAAAAGTTTTTTTTTTTTAATATTTGCTTTATTTTTCCAACATTCACAGCCGCCAATTAATATTTTTTTCCAACATTTATAATAGAGGATTGCTTGATTCACACGCAACACAATTATTATATTTTTTTTCTATCATGTTTTGTAATTTGACATCACATTTTGATTTTTTTTTTACATTGCAGCACAATTATTAATATTACTTATTTTTCGAACCAGCTCCATATAGACTGAAAATTCAGCTTACAATTAATTACAGGTCCACGAATTTTGACACAAAATTTTCTGGCGTGGTGTTTTTTTTCTAGAGAATTTACCCTTACATCCGATTAGAATTTAATTTTGTGTTAAGACATTTAAAAGTACAAGTCTATTAATATGACTAGACATGTTAGCCAGTGGACGCCGCAAACTTTGAGCGGAACATCTAACACTGGGTTGAGATCTGTTGAACGATAAAATTCCATAGAGTGAGATTAATTCCGAGATGGGTGAATTTTTTTTTAAATATTTTGAATTGGCACATCAAACGCCATAAAAGCTCGTAATTCTGATCAAAAGCGAGAACTTCCCCTTACCGAATCACAACTTAAGATCAAGTAGTTTCACTACGTGTTTTTTTTTTTAATTGCAAAATTTTCACATGCAAATTATAAATATTAATAGAGCTTATAAAACATTAAAAACATTAAAAATGCATTGGCATCATAGAGATCAACCATTAAATTTTAAAACCTGTTTAAAATCTAAAACATTTCCATCACTAATAAATTTCTTCAACGTCTGATCACTTTTTGAAAAAGTTCATTCTTTTGTCACCTTCAAGGAACCAATAGTTTGTAAGTTGTTTTGTCCTTATTTTCACAACGCCGAGTCGGCGAGAATGTCTCATTGAAGTGCTTTGGGTCAGGTAACCAGTAGGGCCTGCTTGCGGCGAACAGAGCTGTGTTCCGAGTGGTGGTACAGAGGATCGGCCACAGCCGGAGCAAAGGGTCGCGGTGATTTGGAAAAACGCTGGCAGGTCAGCCGCCAAAATGCCACTCGAAAGTCGGCGCTGTAGAAGGCGTAGATGAACGGGTTGATGGCCGAGTTTATCCAGCCTGGGAATAATCAATGATAATAATTTACTTAATTTATTTTTTCAAGATACTTTCAGTAATATATTTTATTTCTATTGTTTCCAACTTTTTTTATAAATTAGGATAATTTTTTTCAACTTTTTCGCAGACTCGCCTATGTTGCAAAATTTAGCCGTTTGAATAAAATTGAAAAAATCCAGTAGAGTCTAAAAAAATTCAATTGTGATTCAGTTTTTTTTCTTTGCTTTTCTAAAATAATTTGTTAAAATTGAGTTTATTCATATTTTATAATTAATATTTTGCATATTATTATCTTACAAAACTCCTGTGTAAAGGAATTGCTCTGAATCATGTTTAAAATATAATCTTCCCATAAATTTCCAACTTTCAATAGAAACATAAATTTCCCACAGTTCTATAAAGGTCAAAGGGTGCTGCTATCCAGGAATTATTACGCATTTTAATGTGCCACTCTCATTCGCATAGAGTTGGATGGAATAATTTATGCCTTAGAGTGGGAAGTGAGGCAGTCGCGCGACTCGGAATGCGTCTAGTTGTAAGTGAATTCGCATATAAATCATGAGCTTGACCGTCGTCTCGAGGCTCAAAATTCCGACAGAAGCTTTTAGGTGGAGGAAACTTTGGGTGTTTACCTAGCCAAGTGAAGTAGCTCTGCAGGTCAGGAGACGGGGCCGTCGGAAGGAACGGCGTGATGATGTAGAGCAGGAAAAAGGGCAGCCAGCAGGCCACGAAGCCGCCCACCACCAACAGCAGCGTCTGGGCTGTTTTGCTTTCGCGCCGGAACGAAGACACTCGGCTCGAGTGGCTCTGCAGACCTGCGGAAAAAACACACACACCGGAGAGAAGAAATAAATTTGGGGCTTAAAAAGTTAAAAACACTGCAACTCTGAAAATTTGGCACACTTGAAAAAACGGACCATTTATTTTTTTATCATTTAAAAAACATGAAAAAAAAAATTTCTCTCCCATCTTGTTATTTAATATTATTCGTTTGATCCTAATTAATGAGTTTGAAAGATGAAAAATGTAATGTCAATCAATCTATGAAAATAATTAAGAGCAACGCAAATTTAATGTATTTTCACCCTTCGATATTTTTGAAAGCTGGAACCCCTGTTTGTTTTCCTGGATTGCTCAGCTAGGGTTTTTAGTATAATATTTACATTTGGAGATTCTTAGTATAGAAGAAACTTTATATAACTTAGGCCAGTAAACGCTTTTTAGTCAAATCTACTTTTTTTTTTTTTTTTTTTTTTTTTTTTTTTTTTTTTTTTTAAATTATTTGCTTGTCGATCTTTGTTAAAGTGAATATTTTTCCTATGTTATCTAAAGCCAGTCCACGTCATTTGAATCGATTTTCGTTTAAAAGCTTCAACTGTTTACGCCTGCTATCGGTGATTACGGCCGTTTATTTCTATTCTGCATCGACCTGTGGAAACTCACCAATCTAGAAACCAATTTCAAGTCGTTTTCACCTAGATAGGCAAACATGCAGTGCAGCTTAAAAAGCAATCGATACTATTGAAAAGAATGTGTCAACGAGGTCAAACAATCTCGAATGTAATCTCGCTATGGTTTACGATGAAATCGACAGAAGAAGTGAAGGGTCCTTTTTTAGCTACAAAGGCTCATTCTCTAGCAACGTAAAATAGAAAAAAGTAACAATAATATATAAATAAATTAACATAAGTAATTGCTTGCATGATAAAAATGTGTAAGAAAATTTTATACACATGACAAAATTTTAAAAGCTATAAAACCTGGAATATTTTTTATTCAACCTTGATGATTTAAATTTAAATCGTTGATAAGTAAAATTTTTTCATAAGAAAAATATTGCTAACGTGCTAGGCACAAATAAATTAAATTTTACTTGGCAGCACCAGTTTTTCATGGCACAGAACCATTTTATTGACTTGACATTTTGCTCTGCGATTGTCGTAAGGCGTGAAATTTATGAATTGCGCCCTTTCAGGAGACATCTCTTAAGTTGGATTCAGTACTTTACATTTGTTTTGTGTGCCTCCCGCTGGCGGCATTTCAATTGTGAATGTCTACATGTCTGACGTCAGATCTGGTTTATTTGTGGTTTGCGTGAGCGGCCTCCCCGCTGGAAAATCTACATAAATGCCGAGGCGTTCTCCATTTAATTGGTCTTTACAATTTCAAATTCCGTTGTTAAACCAGATTGATCTAAATTGCCTATATATTCAGGCTTATCACGATTTACTAATGCTGAGAAAAAGTATTTGCATCCTGTCCTTAATGGTCGTTTAGGACGAGGTAAAAGAACTTATTTATTTCATTTCCAGAGAGCACTAATTTATTACCCAGGTATGAATAAATTTGCGCCCAACACTCAAAGGACTAGAATATTGTTCAAATTTTTATAAAATTATGATTCTTATTATTAATTAGAACATTCGCTTGACAAAAATTAAGATAACTTGCTTGGGGAAAATAAAAGTTACTTATTCTGCTGCAAATTTATGTCCATAAATTAGCTTGTTGGGCAGAGATCTATTATGTAGGACCTAAACTTTTGAATTTAGATTTTCAGAAAAGTTTTCATACCCTTTAACCAACGCCAAGATAGTTTGAAATTAGATCTGCAGACACGAGAGAAACAATTCGCGGCAAGGGTGCAAATTTTCGGACCGCTCTCTCGTTTAATGTTGAGTTAATTACCTTGAGCTGCGGCGTGTCTACTTAATGTCCGCACTTCGTGTTGATTGGAGCAACAGGAGTGGAGCCTCTGCAGTTGTGGGGTGTTGCACGCCGACGCCCTGCGGAGGGAGAACACCGAAATTAATGCGCGTGTATTCCGCTGCGGATGAAATGGGTCGTGAAGGTGCTGCTGACGAATAATATAATTCTCTAGACTCCGTCTGGCCGCCAAAAGGAGCACAGTCGAGATTGCATTAATTAATAGCTTATTAATTATTATTTGCATGAAACGTAATGGAAAATGCGCGGAAGGAAAAGTAAGCGCAATTTATTTTTATTAATTTTTTTAATTTATTGTGTATGTAAATATTAAATTGTATCAAATTACTAATTTATTCACATAATTTCTTTGTATAACTTTGAAAGATTACTTTGTTTCTTTTATGTGCCGGTGTTCACAAATTTTTGTATTGAAATTAATTTTTCTTTTAACATTTTATTCGTCTCAAATTATTTCAAATCAAACTAATTACGAAATTTATTTTTATAAAAAATGAGAATAAAAAATATATGTAATTTTAAAAATTCAAATCTTAAAATATCTGAAAAAAATTTACTTTCAAATAATAACACAAATTTTGTCACACACAAAAATTGAAGTCTGTAAAAATTAAATGCATTTTTTTGTCAAAATAAATCCATTTTAAAGTTTAAAAAGAGGTTTGATTGCAGTTGATGAACTTGAATTGTAAATTTAGTAATCAATATTTTTTTTATATGAAAGTTTCTGAAATGGAGAAGCACATTCAAGTAAGAAAAAAAGTTTGTTGCAAAAGCGCTATAAGCTATTTCTTTTGCAAGCATTGGAATAAATTATTTAATGTTGAGCACGCAAACCTTGAAAGTTTTCTCTCCTCTGCCTTTTCCACAGTTACGCTTTCCAATTTCCGTTCAAATTTAAACATCCAAATGTACGAGCTGTTGAAAATTGAATAAAAAGAATATTGATCACATTCAAGAAAATGTTAAAACTTTCATATGTTGAAAGCGAGACGAAATTTGCTGTCGGCAGATTTTGGTTTCAAGACCATTAATTTTGAATGAGAAAAGTGTCAAGTTAAATTTTAACTCGGAAACTTTGTATGCCAACGCGCAACGTCACTTAAAATAAACAAAAGGTGTGTTTCGGAGGAGAGTGGCGAAGAGCAAAAAACGGAGTGACTTTAGCTGTTGGCTGACGTTTTTTTCTCTTTTTTTTTGTGTGTCTCACCCGCGGTGTTCGTGGTTGTCGGACGACGAGGGCGCGCGCTCGACGGGAATCTCGGTGCGCGCGGCCGCGGCCAAAGGGTCGAGGCGTCGCGCGATCACGCACGAGATACGTGCGTAGACATACAACATGACGACCAGCGGCAGGAAAAATGAACCCATCGCCGAGAAGACGACGTAGCCCACGTTGCGGTTGTAGCGACACGTTTTGTTCTCGTGACGCCCGTGCTCGTACCTGCAAAAAATTCAAAAAATTGCCCTTTTTAGTGTGTTTTTTTCCTAAACTGCGCATTTATGTCTCTCCTAAAATATAAAAAAGTCGAGAAAAAAAGGCGAAAGGGAAGAAGGAAAATTACATGTCAGACTGCGAAAGCGATTTAATAAATAATGAAGGCTTGTTGCTCACTTAATAATGACCATGAATAAGGTTCATATCTGAAATTTAATATATTCAGAGTGATTCAGAGGCTATTTTGGTCTTTCCTTTTTCATCTATGTTAATAAGGTGGAAACTTTCCTTGTTCTCTTGCTAGTTTCCAAAAAAAAAAAAATGTATCAAAACGATTCAATTTAACTTGAAATAATATCACCACAGAAGAGGTATAAAGATAAGTCAGACGTTATTAATTAAAATAAAAAAATCATTCATCCATATTTTTGCTAAAAAATAGTAGAAAGGAAGAGTTAAAACTGATCTAAATATTGCTTGCACATTTTTTTTTTTTTTTTTTTTTATTGTTAAAATAAGTTATATTGAGAAATTTTTGTCCACCTTTGTTAAATTCATCTTTTTTTAAACTGATAGAATTACAAAGAAATGATAACATAAACAAAAAAGCACTTTGAAAAAAAAAATAGCTAGTAAAATTAACACGGATTATCAACATTTTGCCTAATCAAACTCACTAGCACTAAATTGAAGATATTTTCTGATCATATTTCCATTTTTCAGTTGATAAATTATAATGAAAGAATATATTTTTGATTCGCATAAAAAAAAAACACATTTGCATATACAACAAAAGCAAAATATAATACTGAGAAGTGCGACGAGGCAACTTTGTTATTACAAGAGCGTGTCTAGACGTTGGAGGAGAAGAGTTTCTCTGAAATTAAATTAAAGGAACAAAGTGAAATTTTTCTCTGCCTACACTTCTGCAGAAAATTGAAAGGAGACGTCTGCGTATAAATTTTTTCATATATTTATAGAAAAAAAATGAGATGCAAATGAAGTGAAATAACGCACCAGCCGAAGATGGGTGGGCACGTGATGGCGGCAGCTGCGAGCCACACGGCCAGAATCATGGCGAGGGCGAGTCTCTTGGAGCGGCGGCGCCTGCTGTAAATTAGGGGCTGCGTCACCGCCAGGTACCTGTCGATCGAGATGGCGCCGAGTGAGAGGATCGACGCCGTGCACAGCAGGACGTCCAGGGACACCCAGATGTCACACAAGACCCAGCCCAGCTCCCAAGAACCTGCAACACGCATTTTGTTTTTCGATCTCGGCGCGGCACCAGGCAAAAAGCTTTTATCCTTTATCACATTTATTGCGCGCTCGAGTGGGTTTTCTGGAAAAGCAGTGGAAAAACTTTGCGCTTGAATGCATTTTGAATATTTCATCTCTTTCCCCGAAATGAGGTAAATCGAATCCAGTGGAAATGTCACAAGAGACGCATCACTGGAAAGATGAGCCGAAAAAATATGAGGCACGCATCCTTAATCTCACATTTTTTGCATGTTGTGCGAGATTCACCGAAAAAATTGAAAATGAAAGACTGTTTCGTGAATCAAAAATTAAAAAAATCTGGTGTTTTAAAGTGCAAAATAAATTTTACATGAATATGTTTTTTTTATATAATTTTGCTGATTTATTGTATTTTTCTTGTACATGAAAAAGGGTCACAGAGAGTGACCGAAACTGGTAGAGCCTTTTTGTTTTTGTATGAAAAACAAAATTTCTTTTTGGAAAAAATTCCGTTTGACTTCAACTTTAATTAATATTTTTCTTTTTTTTTATCAAAGCATCAAATTTTCGAAACAAATCAAAATTAAAGCTAACTCTTGCTTTATATTTGGTCACAGAACACTGGCTGAGCAAATTTAATTTTTTTATGCTTCAACCCCCCTACATGAAACTATCAATGAGTGTACTGACATTGAGATGAATTTAAATCCAAAATTATATTTAATAATTCTTCCTCGACTTTCAGATGTTTCATTAATTCATTCAATATTTCAACAAGCGAAGAACTTGCATATAAATTTTAAACCCAATTTATTATTTTATTTTTTTAATTAAACAAAATCACACGCGTATATTTCCGACAATGAGTGTATTGATGAAAAAAAAATTAATGAACTCGCGCAGGACAAACAGTTTTCATTGAAGCGAGAGAAAAGAAATTGAAACAACAAGTACTTGACTTGTCTATTGCGAAACTTTGGCTTGCGCAGCGCAAAAAACAAAACTCATTAGACGCTCTCTTCGTCCGCACTTGGTCTCGCAAACGCAACGTCTTCACTTCTTTCTCTGCGCCAAAAAGTGAAGGAAAAAACTGTGTGTTATTTGTACTGACCCATGACCTGGTAGGCGATGGCCGGCGGCATCACAAACAGACCCACGAGCCAGTCGGCCACGGCCAAGGACATGACGAAGCAGTTGGTCACCGTCCTCAGCCGGCGGGTGGTCAGCACAGCTGCGATTACCAGGGTGTTGCCCACCTAAAATCAATTGACCGTTATTTGCACCAAGGCCGTGTCAATTGACACAGCCATCGACACTTCTGTCGAGAGGGAGGAAACTCATTATGAGAAAGAGAGCTATTTTGGTATAGACAGATCCTTGATCGGTCAATAGTTCTTGGGGCTTCTGTTGTGTGCGCTCAAACCTTGGCCAAGGGATCAAGGTCTTAATAAAATTAATGTAAATAGCAAAATTGAAATAAAGGATTGCCTACAATTTGTGGGTAAAAATTTTTTTAATAAAAATTCGGAACATTGAAAACTAAATTTTCTTGTTCAAAATTAACTAGCCCATATTTTCTTTAAAATATTTAAACAGAAAAAAAATTTTGCTGCTATCACATTTTTTTTTTTTTTTATTTTAATTTTTATTTAATTAAATTATTTAAATTATATGGAGAAGCCAAAAATATGAGTTAATTATCATAAGCATGTATAATAAAATGAATTAGGACAAAGAGAAGACGGAGGAAATTATGAACTTTATAATCAGCTTTGAATCGATTCATTCAATTAAAAATCAATTTTGAAAACCTCATATTTTTGAAACCACTTTTGGAATACATTACTTTTTGACAATGAACATTATTACGTTCAAAATTGTATATTTATTATCATTGAAAGAATTTCTCAATTAAAGCTGATTCAAGTGAATTGAACCTCAAATTTTTATTAATTCGTCTTATCCCGATTATAGAATGTGTGATAATTAAATTAACAAGTTAATAAAAGAAAAAAAGCACTTTTATTTTTGTATCTATTTTAGCCATTTTGGGCAAACTTCCATCACGCAATTGTTATGAATCATGAAATATGAGAGGTGCACGTGAAAAATGTCTCCGGGGAAATTAACACAAACGTAGACGAGTTTTTTCGCACAACACGGAACAATTACTACAAAAAACCCCTTTCATCGCGCATCCCCACAAAAAGGCTAGGAATAAATTTCTTTCTCCTTTTCCTTTGTACTTTTTTTAGGAAGAAATTGAAATTTGACACTTCCCAGAAATGTATAAAAAAAATTGTGATTATTTTCGCCCTCCAGCCTCCCCTAACTTATTCACCATGGTTACTGCAATGACGATGCTAAGGGTCGTCACAAGGATCACGTTGTTCCAGGTGAACGAACTCCGATGCACCTCCTCTTCGGACGGCCCGACCACGCTGCTGTTCCAGTCCTCTGTGAGGTTTGGCGAGCTCAGGTTTGACTCCATCTTTCTGAAACCATAGAAAAAATAGTAAAATTTCACCTCCTTGCAATAAAAAAAATTTGGGTCTCTCAGGCCCATCAATCACGTATGTCAATCACAGTGCTATTTTTATGACTTATGCAAAAAAAATTGAAAAAAAAGTCGTTGAAATTGATTTCCAATCGATACGCATGTCTGCATCCCGCGGCGTAAATTGAAGGCATATCCGCGAGCCGCGGGCTGTTTGCATTGGAAATCAACCTTGTGATATCGGATCCAACCACAACACCTTTGACTCCGACGTGTTCTCACGACAACATAATTAATTAACTTCCTCGCATTAATGCTGCTGAATCTTTGATAATTGGATTGCGTATCTCTCTCCGCTATCAATACCACCGAAACCCCATAATTTGATTTGTGGCGCATGTAGGCGTGAATTCTGCTTCTGGATTGCTTATCAATTAGTATTTTTTAAACAGATCTTACCGGTGTGGCATAAAATGTAGAAAAAATATTAAATTGCAAAACTTTTTTTATGCATATTTAATTTCTGCCTTGTTTGTTCTTTTCTATTGGAGAATCTAGATAAACTTTATTCTCACAATTTGCAGATTTCTATTGATTTTATTACCATTCATATTAGATGTCAAAATAATAACTTAATTACAACGTAAATGAAGACAAGTCCACAAGTGTTCTATATTAATTAAATAACTTATTTTAAAAATAATAACACATTATTAAAAAAATTAAATAAAAATTATAAATTAGTCACAATTAAAAAAAAAATAATAATTGTATTGTAAATTAAATAAATGTAGTGAAATAAAAAAAATACATAATAACATTAATTTGTATTAAGCTTTTACACTTTTTACTTATTAATAGGTTAAAAATTTTATCATGTGCGTCTCAATCCTTTTCTGCGCCATACGCATCATTCACGTTTACGCGAAACGCCGTAAGTCGGTAGCTGAAGACGCCATTCGCTCGCATTAGCGATCCTTCAAGGCATGCACATATATTTCCATTTAAATTGTCAGAGTCTCGTCCACACTTCTTGCTGCGAAGAATGTGTGCCGCAGCAAAAGCGAGTCTTTCTTTCTTTTTGCTGCAGACAAAATGACGTATGTGTGTGTTTGCACGGATCGGCCCAAAACCGCGATCAGCCTGAGGCTGGCACGACCCATAATTAAAACAACGCTGTCTGCTTAGCGTTCCGATGTGTGACGGCGTATTATCATAGCGTGGGATATTTATTAACCTGTCAACGCTGCTCTCCTCATGCGACCCATTTATGCCGCAAAACTGACGCCCTTTCTGCTGCGCAAAATTGATGATGTCAGTTTTAATGCAAATATAATGCACTGATTGATGCATAACAATGAGCATAAAAATCGATAATTAATCTCGAATATGTTATTACAAAGAGACATTGTTGGATGTGTCTATTTTCATTGCTGAAGTAATTTGCGGTCGAAAATCGTTAATTTTTTTCTAGCGAATTTTTAGTATGATTTCAATTTGCAGGTTTTAATTCAATCATTGTTTTAGTTCCAAATTTTTATTGACGTTTGCTTCGGAAAATTTAATTTAATTTAATTTAGATTTTTTTAAAGTTGTATTGAACTTCAAATCAAAGTCATTTTTAGAGTTGATATGGTTTTTTTTAATACAGAAATTATTTCATGTTGTGCATTTCAATTGTATTTTTAATTTCCATGAAATAATTTAAATAAAAAAATTAAAATTACAATTTCAAAATTATAATTGTTCACCTCCACTTAAAGTTTTACCCCATCAGTTTTCAATTTGTGATTAGTAAATACATCCTAGCAATGGCTGATTATTTAAATATAATTTACCTTAAAACTTCAATTTTTTATAACACAAGCTGACAATCAGACATGCTGTTGTGTTTCCTTTGGGTTAAAGACTGTTGAATGTTAGAGAAATTCCCACAGCATCAAAGAGACGAGTTTGGATTATTTAAATTGATACAGTTTTGTGCCAGTCCATGGGAGTTTCGTCGGTTTTGCAGATGTTCCGGTCGATAAGGCGGTTGTGGTCGCGGTTTTCAAGTGCGCTGCAAATTGCATCATAATAGCAGCGCCGGAAAAGCAACTGACGGTGCTTCCAAAATGACCACAAACACAAGCCTCAATGAGGAGGAAAGGAATGTGTGAAAATGCAAAACGACTAATGAAACCCACACAGAGAAATTCAAAGAGACCCAATTCAAACGAGGCAAAACCAAGTAATTACTATTTAAGACTTCAATACCTACTTAAAATTATATTGATTTAAAAAAAAAATTCTTTTAAAACCTTTTTTTAATAAATCAATTTTATTTTACTTAAAATTAAGTAAACTTCATGTTGTCAATGTTTGATTGGAAATCTTGATATTGTATTCATTCAGCGTGTTTTAATTAAATAAACCAGATGTACAAACAAACAGTGAACAGTGCGAATTTCTCATAACAATAAGGAAAAGTTCTCAGAATTCAGGCAGTACCGTATTTCGCACCCAAATTTTAACACAGGCAAATTGTTGTTTACCTCATGAGCAAATATTTGATTCATTTAGCAAACACAATGAAGACGGGCGAGCTGTGGAGTTCAGAAAGGGCTGATTGCGAAAAGGTCTCGTCTGCATGCGTCTGCAAATAGCTGTTTTGCGAGCGCAAATACGCGTTCTATTTGCCCGAACATGCGTGCATAATACCCTGCTGATTTTTTTTTCTTCAAATATAACAGAGCTGCAGATTTAATGAAAAAAATTCGGCCGTAAACACTCGGAAATAATTGTGTGCGCCGAGAAAAATGTAGGCCACGGACGTTTCTTAACGAGGAAAAATTCCATTCAACCGGCTGCGCTTTTTCCACGTCTAGTTTCTTTTTAATATCGTGATAAAAGGACGGGGTGTGTTGAATTAAACAAGACAGAAATAAATTTTTCCAACCCAGCCTTGGGTGGAAAATAGCTGGGCCTCTTTATGTTTATACATGCGTAGGCGGCAAGAATTTGCACTCATGGGAGGTTTTCGTACGTCATTCCGCGACAAGGTGCGCGTCTACAGAGTTTTCCACCATCAAATTTCAAACGACAGGGAGAAAATTTTGTATAAAATTTATTAAAAGATTTAAAAAAATCAGCATTAAGTTATATATCCTCTTGATTTGATTTGACAAATACGCAAAATAACTAAAATTAATAAGAAAAAATTTAATTATAAAAATGTGGCATGTTCTTTTTACCTGTAACTTATATCATTTAATTATCCTGCATAGTTTCAATTGTTAATCAGTAGAAGATTTAAAAAAAATATAGTATGAAAGTAATTATCTTGGTCAGCTATAATTAATAACGTATATTTTGTTTTCAGAGTATACTGCGCCTTTTGTAAACATTTCGTATAAAATATTTTTTTAAACTTCTGTTTGGTTCTAATTTCCAAACACTCTCTAAAAAATCATGTTACAATTCTTTTTTGCTCATTTTTTTCTATTACATAAATAAAAAATCTTTCATGGGGGATAAAGTTTCTGCAACAATTATTGAAGTCATTAAATTTAAATTTTGTTCCGAGCTGGAAATATAATCATGGGGGATTAAATTGCCAGTGAAAAAATTGTGTGCTTTTTGGTATCGCGTGCCATGTGAGGGAGGATAACTCTATACACCTGTCTCTGTTGTGTATAATAAAGGCCTCGTGTTCATTGTGTATCAATTTGCGTTGAATTTTTCACATTCTTGTTGCGCGCCTCCTCGCGCTAATTCACCCCTGGATGAGAAAGTCGATTCGCTCATCGGCTCCTTTTTCACCCTCGGCGAAATTTGTATAAAATAATATTCCTGCAGCATTTTGAAGAGGCAGCCAGCATAATCATAATCTTGCAGGCTTGGATAAACAAGAATTTTCTGCCTCGTCTCACTGCAATATCAGACAAAGACATCATTGTATTGAGGCCCACGCAGGCGTGTTGCAAAAAAGGTAAATTTCTTTTTGGTATAAATGCATTGGAGCAAGTAGGCAGCATGCATGACATGAAAATTTTTGCTTTACGAGTCTGCAGAAATTGTAAAAGAGCAGCCTAATGGGTCAAAGTGGGTCTAAAAATGCTACTTTTTTCAATATCGTGGATGATTCTTCAATTTGCTCGTAAAGGTCAAACGACTAAACTAATTATTGTGATCTTGCATTTATTTTATTTATAAATTTATAATAAACCATAGAAATAAAATTAATCAAGTCTCGAAAATCAAGCTTTTACAGGTTTTTATATTTTTATTTCTTAATATACTCGCCCATTGTAATCAACGTGATACTTGAAACAAAAATATAATTATCTTTACATAATTATCAATATTTTTTCTTGGCATTTATTAAAAGTAATTATTTCCTCGTTTCATTTAAATTAGATTAATTAATTAATTTATGCAAAATTCTCTTTCCTTGTTTTTTTTTTCATGGACATCATTAGCTCTAATTTTGTGGGCTGGGGACAGGTGTGCATTCCATACCAAAACCATCTTTTGTCTCTCCCCCATTATCGTTCAAATTTATGTTAACCATAAATTACAACAACCCACCCTCTTAATGAGCTCCTCGGAAACAAGAAAATTCACCTCTTGGAGATGGAAAATCATTAAAATTTGGCTCTTTGGCAAAGAAAAATAAAAAAAACTCACGCGTCCATATCGGCTATCGCTGAACGCAACACATTTCAAGAGCACCCCTAGCCCTATGTTGGATTTAGGAAATTGCCAGTGATAAATCCGGTGGGGCAAACTTTTTGTGCGGAGAGTCGACGACCTGGCATTGCATTCTAATTCAAAGTTTGCCTGCCCTCTTTATTGCGCACCGCCTGAATTTATGATTTTAATCCTCATCGTTTGGACTTTTTTTTTCATCCGGCGAGGATTTTTTTTTGCACAGTATAGAGGGATGCACACACGACGAGCCGTCCAATAAAAAGAGACGCGAATCGTATAAGCCCCACATTAGCATAATCGACTTTT